TTCTGAAATTTACCGTTATATGAAAAGCGGCCGTAATTTTAGTGCGATTTCAATAATTTTCAACGTTTTGCTTTTATGTGGCAAGCACAATAAAAATACCGAGTTAGGTACAAATTGGTATAACGGTTACTGAGATACATATATGTGATCATAAGTGGGCGGTGCCACGCCCATTTTCCAAAATTTTACCATAAACGTATTTCTTGGTAAAGAATTGTTGCAAGCACCAATTTTGAATAAATCAGCTTTAATATTTTCTGATTTATCGAAGATTTTGTATTTCTCTAAATTACCGTTATATGGGATGTGGGCGTGGTTATTGTCCGATTTTTATTTATTTGATATGGTGTGCCAAGGCCAACAACTGTGCCAAGTTTGGAAGAAATTGGTGCAGCGGTTACCAAGATATACACATGTAACCATAAGTGGGCGTGGCCACGCCCATTTTCTAAAAATTTATAATATTCTAATTTTTCGTCTGAAATTTATTGTAAGTATAAATTTTGAGTGAATTATCTTCAGTAGTTACTAAAATATCGCAGTTTTCGTATTTCTGAAAATTACCGTTATATGGGATGTGGGCGTGGTTATTGTCCGATTTTTTTAATTTTCGGCCATTTAGTATGCTGTATCAAGGTCAACAACTGTGCCAAGTTTGGAGGAAATTGGTGTAGCGGTTACCAAGATATACACATGTTACCATAAGTGGGCGTGGCTACGACCATTTTCCAAAAATTTATAATATTCCTATTTTTCGTCTGAAAATTATTGTAAATATCAATTTTGAGTGAATTGTCTTCAGTAGTTACTAAAATATCGCAGTTTTCGTATTTCTGGAAATTACCGTTATATGGGAAGTGGGCGTGGCTACTGTCCGATTTCGCCCATTTTCAATACCAACCTACCTTGGATTAACCGAAACTTACATACCAAATTTCGTTGAGATATCTCAATTTTTGCTCAAGTTATCGTGTACACGGACGGACGGACAGACGGACGGACAGACAGACATGGCTTAATCGACTTCTCTATTCATTCTGAGCATTTATGTTTACATTTGTCTATATCTATCTCGATTCGTTTTGGCTGTTACAAACATCCGTTATGTGAACAAAACTAGTATACCCTTGTGCACAAGTGCGCTCGGGTATAAAAAGTGCTAATATACGCGTGGTATATTTTTAAATGTGTATGATGCCATATGGCATCAATAATATTTGAAGGAGCTGAAATCCGCACCAGCAAATAACGATATATTTGTACTGGGAAATTGCAACTGGTAAATTTTATAAATGAATTATTAAATATATGCAAGTTCCAACTTATTTTATTAAATTTTTGTGGTGTTATTTAATTTGATTTGAATAAAATAAAATACCATATTAAAAAATCTTTGCATATTTTTTACACCAGTTAGTACAAATGATGCCATATGGCATCATTCCAAAAACCACTTTAGAATCGCATTTTGGAAAAAAATTAAATTGAATGTTATTATATTATGTATTAAGGCTCATTTAATAAAAAAGTTGTATTTTTAAAGCCCGTATCTAAAAAGATGTACCGAAAGGGTTAAGTACCCCTATGATATCTTTTGTTTATCTAATACTTAATACTTCTTATGTAAGTCTAGCTCATTATACCTATATAATCATTTTAATTGCCTGTATATATACATATATAAATGCTCATTTCAAAATTTGTACAAAAATTATAAAAACACAAAAAATATTCACCAAAACACCTATTTCTTCAGAATTTTTAGAAAAATTTTAGGTATTCAAATTTATAGCCCATTAAATTATATAAGGATAAAGTGTAAGCTTCAAGTGGCTAAACATATCATTGGTTTTTTAAATTTTTAGGTTTTTTTTTGCTGGCGGTGTCACACATGTCAGCTATGTTTCATAATTTTAACGGTTTCAAAAATTATGCAATACGGTGTTTAAGCAGGCTAAGCACAATGTTTGTATCAAATTTGGTTGAGATCGGTAATTTTCCTAAGATTATATCAAAAAGAAATTTTTTGCTGAGGAGCCATTGTATATATAAATTTTTAGTAAATATTGATGAACTCCTTAGCCACACTATTCAAAAAATCTGAACGTCCGGCACATACACACAAATAAATTCAAGGCCGTATTTTTGCTTAAATTGCTTAACTTCGAAAATTTTTATGCAATTGCATTAGGTGAGGTATCAGTTTATTCGAAAATAAATGTTCTTTTCTATAAATACTACATATCTGAAAACTTTCATAGAAATTTTTATTAAAGTTTAACCAATGGAAACTCCCCACAAGCTAGGTCTAACAATATATTGTTATAGATCATTTTAAAGTTCTATAAAGCCTTTTTGTTTGTTTTTTTAAAATCGCATGAAAAATAGTCAAACTGTTAATGGATAAGTGCATCAAGTACGAACATAACGGTTGTTTTTAAATAAAATAAAAATGGAGGGTTAAGGAACTATACGGACCATAGCTACAACCTATATTGGTTTTGTTTCGGGTGTATTTCAAGACTTTTTTTTTGTAGCACCGTGTTATTATTATTAAATTGCAAGTTTGAAGTAGCAAGAGCTTAACATTAATTTTTGCCATTTTTTTTTTGTTGACGGTGTGACGCATGTTTTTCATACAAAGTAAGTATGCTAGAACATTTTTTGATAGGGAAGCAAATGAGCCGCACTTTATTATACTAAATTTGAATGAGAACTGAACTGAAAACCAAACTTTATCTAAAGGTTCTGATTTTGATGAAACTTTGCACAATTAATTTTCATAGTTTTTGCGAAAAGTCGGAAATTTGGATTTATACACTCCGTTGCATAATTATAAATCCAGTAGGTACAATCAAGACAGGTAAAGACTTTCTTCTATGACTTTTGCATGGCAAGAGGTCTCTCAAAACTGAGTGGTTAATTTTTTAATAATTATATCCTAATTTTAAAGAAAACTCAAAAAATCTAAACATTACTTGTTGCAAAACTATAAATCCAAAAAAGGAATCCCAATAAAATGAGTAAGACATGCAAATATGTCCTTCTATACCCTATTTATGCTCCATTGACCTAAATTAACTGATTATGGCCTTCTGTACACTTAGACATAATGTCTTCGGTAAAGCAGCATCCAGTTTATACCACTTTTGCAAAATCCAATTGAAGCCATATAACGTTTTCACATTGGCGATTATCAGTATAAACTGTCCTTTCCAGTATTCCCCACACATTTTCCATTGGGTTGAGGTCACGAGAGCACAAGAGTCCGAATATTACTGGTTTCCAAGCAGCATTTTGCTTCCCTGCTGCACAATGATATTTGAAACCCATTCTGTGCCCATAATTTAAAAAATGAGTATATTGACATGAATTCGGGTTTACAATGGTTTTTGAGGTCGCTGAATTCAAATCTGAAGTCAAAATAACAAAAACCAAAACGGCCGATCCAATATGGCGCCTAAAAGCTTAAACACAATAAATTTGTTAAAAAATAATAATATTATTATATTATTAAAGAGTTATTAGGGTAGCCAAACTCGAATCTGTAACCAAATCACTACAAACAAAATGGCCGATCCAATATGACGCCTGAAATTAAAATAAATGTGTTTAATTTAAAAAAATATTTATTAAATTCACGTAGTGTTGAGTTATATTAGGTTTTGTTAAGTTTGTATCTAAAATTCTTATATGAAAATGTTATCGAATTCATTGGCGTCGCTCCTCCCATCAAGTCAAAGAATAACATTTCACTAATATGGGTCTAGAAAAAAGGCTCTTTAGAAGAAAGTATGCGTAATAAAGATTCAAAACACGAATTTTTAAAATCATATATTAAATTTTTCGCCTTATTTATAAAACATTTTGATAATTTTAAACACATTAAATTTTTCTTTTTACTTATAAAATAAATTATTATAAAATTCTTCTAGAACTTCGTCAGCGGAAAAATGTATATCTGTGAATATTCATAGATGCTAGACCGTTGAGCCTTTCTTGACATGTTGTATTACCCAAGTAGGTTTTAATTCTTTTCAGGCATGAAAAGCTTCGTTCAGGTGTGGCTATTGAAACGGGCAAAGGTGCCAATATACGTAAGATCTTAAAAACATTCCCAAAAGACGTTGTATTAGCTACTTGTAATGCCTCGAGAGCATTTCGAAAATGTTCGTGTGAAACTCGTTTTTTCCACATCTTTACCTCCAGAAGAAAGTTTTGTTTCGAGCAGTCGATTACTTTTTCATAGAAAGCAAACAGTTCTTCAGTTTTTTTTCGTTAAAACCATCTTTGGAAACAAAACACTAAAATTATTTAAAACTGATTTATGGTTTAGGAACCGGCTTTTCAAATGGGCAATATATGTATCAAGGAAGAGAATCTAAAAAGCAACGCGATAGTATGCCTCGGCGTCTCCGGTTTTCACATTAAAGTGATTCTTTTGGCGACTGCTGTATCGCGATACTTTGATTTCTGTACCTAGGTTGGTGCATACTTCTTCTACGTGTTCGAAAAGCAAATGGAAGTTTTTTTCTGCATCTTGTCGCATTTCTTCAAATTCCTTTAAAGCGTCGTCGGCTAAGCTCATTGCTTATGCAAGATCTTCATCAGGTACTTGTAATTGCCGGCTAGCAAAGCAACAACAATTTATAAAAAAGCAAATGCTTGGCTGTTGTCGCTGTGCTAACAGTTTTTCAAACCCTGATAATTTCTATAGATATTCGCACGATACATAGGGATCCGAAGAGGGAAGCGACACGTATTTGCCGCAATAAGAAGAGAAAGGCCGAAATACGTGAGTGCGAAGAGCTTGAAATGCTAGCCGACAGGAAGAATGCCCGAAAATTTTACCAGAGAGTTAGGCGACTTACCTCCATCACTGTCGGTCTGCTTCGGCAACCGTCATATCACCACGAACCAAGAGGGAAGCTAGTATGGTGACCTGATGCTGTATCAACCTCGCCCGCTGGGTAAGTGTGATACTAGCCACTCTGGTTTCCATGCGAGATCACCGCACCGACGTCCTTATCATTAATCCCTCCCCATCCCATCTTCCCTCCTTCCACCCTATAATCCTGAGTGGGGAGTCTTTAACTCATACCGCATCAAAACTGGTGGACCAGGTCGAGTCTAATATCGAAAATACTGGCAGCCAAGACCCGACAAGAACAACGCCGACAGTTGACGGACGTAAGGACGGCAATGGCTCCAAAGACCCTATATTTGGACCGGCGCAACGGACAGAAGCAGGCACTACGCAACAGAAGGAAAATCTGGGGCAGGTGGGATCCGAGGATGCTTCGGCACCCAAAGATGATATACCACAGGCCTCGGGAGGAGCCAAATGGTACCTGCGTTACGTAAACAAAGGCTTAACGTCTGAAGAGGCCAAGAAGAAAGTGCTGGACCGGGAGAAGTCCAATGACAGCACAGGCGTGGTTGCGAAAACTAGACCCCCGGAGGGAAATCCGGAGAAAAAGGCACCCCTAGATTGGGAAAAACCCGGTGACAGTAAACGGGTGGCTGCGGAGCTTAGTCCTCCTGAAGGAAAGCCGGAGAAGAAGAAGAGCCGTCTTGAAACAGTGGCTCCAAAACCTAAGGCAGGGGCCAGGAAGCCGGGTGTTAGCTATGCTAGCGCCACTAAGCGCATTAGACTGGCAGTTCTGCCGAAGGCTTTCCCTGAGAGTACACTCACTCGTGAGGATCAGGGAAAAATTGAGGACGCCATTGTGGAGGAGATGGGTAAAGGTTGGAGGTCAATACTCCAACTCGACGGCATCCACTTTCGGCCAGGCCTTATACTGGTCGACTGTTTGGATGCAGAATCAGCCGAATGGTTGCGCGAAATTGTCACAAAACTGCCTGACTGGGATGGTGCGGAACTGACTACGTGCGATGGGGACAACATACCCAGGAGGCACGTAATCACTACGTACCTACCAAAAGCGGCAGGAGTGGACACGCAGAAACTGCTGAACCTCATTATAGCACAAAATGAGGGAATGCATACCGACCTATGGAAGGTTTATAGGAGCAATGATGAGAAGACGGGCAAACTGCTAACGATCGGGATTGACGACCGGTCGTTGGACGCTATCAAAAAGAAAAATTGCATCCTACGATACAGGTTTGGTAGTGTTCCAGTGCATGTGCACAAGGGCAGGGAACCGAAGGCGAAGATAGTCAAGACAGATACTCCACCGGGTGGTTCGGAATTACCGAAGGAGGTGGCTGAGATGGTAGCCGTGGAAGCAGCTAGGAGCGCGGTAGTAGAGGAAGTCAGTCTTTTACCTCATGAGATGGAGGGTATAGACGACTTCGACCTCGGGCTACTGACCATTTGTGCTGATGACGACTCGGAGAGAGCCACCTTGTCAGAGTTTGACGAAACTCTGACAACGGACGAAGACGATGACCAGCACTAAGGTCGCACAAATAAACCTACACCATGCGAGGGCCGCGTCTGCGGCTATCGCTAGGGCAACCCTCAGGTCTACACTGGGAATAGTGCTGGTACAAGAACCCTGGGTCGTCAGGGGACAAATAAGAGGCTTGGCAGTAGAGAACAGGCAGGTAATTTGGGATACTACGTGTACGAATCCTAGGGCGTGCTTTTTAATAACTAATAGCTTGAAACATATATGTCTTTCAGATTTCCTGTCGAGGGATCTAGTAGCGGTCCAAGTCCCAGTCAACATCAACGGGACCATCCAGGGCATCGTAGCTGCATCGGGCTACTTCCCAAGAGATGACACGCACGCCCCACCAGAGCTTGTCACTAAACTGGTGAAGTACTGCGAGGCTAGGAAGCTACCCTTGATACTCGGGGGTGATGCAAATGCGCATAGCGAGGCATGGGGGAGCAGTGACACCAACCAAAGGGGTGAGTACTTTCTTGAATTTATCCTTAGAAATAAATTAGAAATCTTTAATGTTGGGAACATACCATCTTTTGTGACCCTCGCAAGGGAAGAGGTCCTTGATATTACCATAGGGAATACTCAAACGAAAGCGCTAGTGAAAGAGTGGAGAGTATCCAATGAACCCTCCATGTCAGATCATAGAATAATAAGGTTTGACATTGAAGCAACCCCTCTTATACATAGAGTTTTAAGAAATCCCAGGAAGACAGACTGGGAGAAGTTTAAAGACCACCTGAGGTTAAATGTATCACAACCTGGGCTAGGTCAGAAGATCAGGAACGAAAAAGAACTAGAATTCGCTACAAAGCGCTTCAATGAACTACTCATTGACGCATATGAAGACAGTTGTCCTATAAGTAAGGTACGTTCCTCCAGGGATGTACCCTGGTGGAACAACAACTTAAGTTAACTCAGAACCAAAGTCTGGAAACTGTTCAATCGAGCAAAACGAACCGGGGAGTGGTCAGAATACAGAAACACCTTAACTCTGTACAACAAAGAAATAAGGGAATCTAAGCGTTTAAGCTTTAGGAACTTCTGTGAAAGCATAGAAGATACTACGGAGGCAACAAGACTCTATAAGGTAATGGCAAAAAGGAAATGTATTTCGTCCGCAAATCTACGGAAGAGTGATGGGAGTTTCACTGGGAGCGAGGAGGAGAAGATCAAACTTCTCATAGATACTCACTTCCCAGGATCTACATCTTATTCCGAAACAGATCGGACTAAGCAGTGCAGTAAACTAAGCAGAGGAAACTGGTTAGTGGCTAAGGAAATATGCTCCGAGCCCCGGCTCAGGTGGGCGGTAAATACCTTCAAACCACTGAAGTCACCGGGAGCGGATGGAATTTTCCCTGGCATGCTACAGCAGGGCTTAGAATGCGTGATTGGACCGCTATTAAAAATAATTAGAAGCAGCATAGCATTGGGTTATATACTGAAGGTTGGAAAGAAGGACCCACTTCATCCAAAATCCGATCTGCCTGACCTCATTTGTACTAAAAGCTTTAGAAAAGGTAGTAGATAATTATGTAAGGACTACGGTCTTATTGAACTATCCGCTGAATTCGCGCCAACATGCAAATATGGCGGGCCGCTCTACTGAAACCGCCCTATACGCACTGACATGCGCACTTCAAGATAGCTTAGAAAATAAGGAGACTGCTATATGCGCTTTACTGGACATCGAGGGGGCGTTTGACAACACCTCACATGCTGCAATAAACAGTGCTTTGATTAGCAGGGGGGTGAACAATATCCTCGTAGCCTAGATTAATTGCATGCTCCGCACCAGAAGGGTAGAAATACAAACCTGTACGAATAATACAGTTGTTGCCGGAACAACAAGGGGCTGTCCACAGGGTGGAGTGTTATCTCCACTACTATGGAATATAGTCGTCGACGGACTGCTCCAAGAACTAACAGATACTGGACTAACCTGCCAGGGGTACGCCGACGACATTGCAATATTATGCAGGGGGAAATTCGAAAACACCCTGTGTGATAGAATCCAACTAGGGCTGAACGTAACCAAAAAATGGTGTGCCAAAGTGGGGCTGAATGTAAATCCAGCAAAAACCACTATAGTACCATTCTCAAGGAAATACAAACTTGATAGTCTAAAAGCGATAAGGCTAGATGGAACCAACATCATGTACCAAAAAGAGGTTAAATTCCTAGGAGTAATACTAGACCAAAAACTACTCTGGAAAGCACAAGTAGAAGAAACTGCGAAGAAAGCTGTAAGATCATTTATGACGTGTAGGTCCATGGCAGGTAAGAGTTGGGGCTGCACACCAAAGATACTGAGATAGATCTACACGACATTAGTACGACCCATGATAACCTATGGGGCCATCGTTTGGGCCGATAGAACTTCAAAACTTGGAGCAATCAAAGTGCTCTCCAACATACAAAGGCTGGCATGCGTATGCATAACGGGAGCCGTGAGAACCTGACCAACCGTATCATTGGTGGTTCTTTTAGATCTTACCCCTCTTCATATTTACATACAGACTCAGGCGAAAAGAGCTTTACTACGGATGACTTGGTATGACCAATATCGGGGCAGCAGGGTGTCTTGGTCGTGGGAAGTTAGATATTCTTACGAATAAGTTCCCTGAAATTGCAATACCGAGGGGTACCATGAATCCGAGGTTCAGCTTTACAAATAGGTTTAAGACTGAACTGAGTAATAAGAAGAGCTGAGCAGGCATATCCGAGACATATCGGATAAACCAAAACATGATTACCTGGTACACTGATGGCTCATTGACCGACGAGGGTACCGGGGTAGGGGTAGTTGGACCGAAACATACGCCATAGAAAGATGCGCGGACTTTAATATCAAGCGAAACTACCGGAATCAGAACATCGCGATCTTGACTGACAGCCAAGCGGCTATCAAGGCCCTCAGATCTTACCAGGTAACATCTAAACTGGTGATGGAGTGCCTCGGCAAGCTGAATACTCTTGGTCTGACCAATCGGGTTTGGGTTCTCTGGATTCCGGGACATATTGGTATTAAAGGAAACGAGATTGCCGATAAACTAGCGAAGAAAGGTGCATCAACCCCTTTCACCGGTCCAGAACCTTTCTGCGGCCTGGGAAAAGGGGCACTCTCTAAACTAGTTCGGCTAGAGGAAGAAGCTCAGAGGAATCACTACTGGCATAATCTACCAGGTTTAGAGCAGTCCAAAGCACTTTTAGAAACATATAACCTAAAACGCTTCAAGGAATGTATGAGCTTATCAAAGAATAACTTAAGAATTGTTACAGGAATCCTGACAGGACACTGCAGGCTGAACTATCACCTGACTAAACTGGGAATTTACTCGCATGAGCGATGCAGATTTTGCAGGATGGAAAACGAGACTGCACAGCACATCTTAGAAGAATGTTCTGCACTGATGCATAAACGCAAAAGGCACCTGGGTGAACATCTGATAACCAAAGGCGAAGTGAAATCCGTAGACTTAGGTTCTATACTAAAGTTTCTCTCGGATACTGGATTAATAGACACACTATAATCCATGAAGGGGGTACAATAGATCTTATGGTCGCAGTGCTCTATCCCCAACAATAATAATAATAGGCGACTTACGGAAGGTTTAAAGACCGGGGCGTACTCCTGTTAGAACAATAATGGCGACCTAGTAACTGATGCCCAGAGCGTACTTAAATTATGGAGGGAACACTTTTCCGCCCTGCTAAATGGTAGCAGCACGGAAAGTTGCGGAGAAGAAGAACCCGAGCCCGCAGTCGATGATGACGGAGTCGACATTCCACCGCCTGACCATGACGAGGTACGTATAGCAATAACGCGGCTGAAAAACAACAAAGCCGCTGGAGCTGACAGCCTGCCAGCTGAGCTATTCAAGTACGGCGGCGAGGAGTTGATAAGGTGCATGCATCAACTCTTGTGCAGAATAGGGTCAGATGAACGCATGCCCGACGACTGGAATTTAAGTGTGCTCTGCCCAATCCACAAGAAAGGTGACCTTGCCATTCGCGCCAACTACCGCGGGATCAGCTTTCTAAGCATAGGTTATAAGGTCTTATCGAGCGTGTTGTGTGAAAGGTTGAAGCCCACCATCAATGTACTGATTGGGTCTTATCAGTGTGGCTTTAGACCAGGTATTCACAATACGCCAAATATTGGAAAACACCCGAGGCAAAAGTTCGACACTCACCACCTATTTGTCGACTTTAAAGCCGCTTGTGACAGCACTAAAAGGAGTTGCCTATACGCCGCTATGTTTGAATTTGGCATCCCCTCAAAACTCATACAGCTGTGTAAAATGACGTTGAGCAATACCACCAGCTCTGTCAGAATTGGGAAAGATCTCTCCGAGCCGTTCGCCACAAAACGGGGTTTCAGACAGGGTGACTCCCTGTCATGTGACTTCTTTAATCTGATGTTGGAGAACATAATAAGAGCTGCAGAACTGAACCGCTCAGGAACAATTTACTACAAGAGCGTGCAATTGCTGGCTTATGCCGACGACATCGATATCATCGGTATCAAAAACCGCGAAGTCTGTTCTGCCTTTTCTAAGTTGGATAAGGAAGCAAAGCGAATGGGTCTGGTGGTAAACGAGGACAAGACGAAGTATCTCCTGTCATCAAACAAACAGTTAGCACATTCGCGCCTTGGCACCCACGTCACTGTTGACAGTTACAATTTCGAGAAAGTAGAGAATTTCGTTTACTTGGGAACCAGCATTAACACCGATAATAATGTCAGCATTGAAATCCAACGTAGAATCACTCTTGCCAACAAGTGCTACTTTGGACTGAGTAGGCAATTCAGGAGTAAAGTCCTCTCTCGACGTACGAAAACCACGCTCTATATGTCACTCATCATGCCCGTGCTGGTATATGGCGCAGAAGCATGGACAATGACAACATCCGATGAGGCGGCTCTTGGGGTGTTTGAGAGAAAGATTTTGCGTAAGATTTACGGTCCTTTACGCGTTGGCGACGGCGAGTACCGCAGACGA